TTGCTTCAAGCATGTGTGATTTCGTTTGGATAAGGTGTACATATATATCCCTCTCTGCCTACGGTTTACCGGGCAGTTCTATTTGACGATATATATATATATATATATATATATATATATATATATATATAGTGACGATATTAGTGACGATATATATATATATATATATATTTCTATTTGACGATATATATCGTCACAAACAGAACTGCCCGGTAAAACCGTAGGCAGAGAGAGAGAAGACGACAACATACTAGGGGCTGTGACAAACTGTTTCGTCGGAGTTTCACCGATATATATATATATCGTCACAAATATATGTATATATATATGTTTGTGACGATATATATATCGTCACAATATATATATATATCTGTGTGTGTGTGTGTCTCTCTCTCTCTCTCTCTCTCTCTCTCTCTCTCTCTCTCTCTCTCTCTCTCTCTCTCACACACACACACACACACACACACACCAAATACTGACCAGCAAAATGGCTTAGTCTTCAGCTGTGATGCAAGGGGAGCGGCCTGACGACGATCTTTGGCTATGGCATCCAAGGTGAGTCTGCCGGCAACTCCCCTCACTCCAGCATCCTCCTGGGCTCCGCCCTACACATCCTATCTCCTCTACACTAACTAGGTGCAGCTAAACCTCCAGTGCTGCACCAGCAGTGTAGTCGCATGACTCCTGAATGGTGTGTGCCAGGAATGAGGCCGCCCCAGCTATATATATCGCTGGGTCTCCTGGATCCTACCTCAGCTTGTGTCCTCTGCCGTCTGATCAAACTGCTGGTCCACGGTCCAGGATGAAGGCATGAACCCTGGTCCTGATTCTGGGCCAAAAACGGCCTGCCTGGTTCCCAACCGGACGTCCAGGCTCCTCTGCTGAAACAGCAGAGGTGTCCTCACAAGAGGACAAAACCAGGTCTGGACCAGAATGTGGTTCAGTCCGGATCTGAGCGAGCCAGGTCTAAGAGCGGCCGCTGGTCCTGAGGGACTATCGGTCTCGACGAAAATGCCGAAACGACACATCCAGACCGGACAAACCTGGGATGGACAAAACAAACTCAGAAAACAGACAAACAAACTGAGAACAACAACAAAAATGAACTCAGAAAATGCAGACGACCCCAAAAAGAAAAGAAAAAACTCCAAACTCACACTCCAGAACCAATGTTGGGCCCTGGAGGGGTCCGTGCGGAGCCGTGAATGCCATATCACGGACCGACCCAAGTTGGGTTGGGTACACAAAGTGAAGAGCCTGGGATAGCCACATAGTTTTTGGCCATGGCTGAGGTGCATAGATGTACTGACGTATGATTTATACCATGCTACATTAATTCATTGAATCGATCAATAGACAGAAGTGCGATAACCCATGCCATATGTCTCGTGGAATCTGAGGGTCATCTGAGGGCCTACTTGGCCGCCCTCAGCCCAGGCTGAAACAGGGGAAAAAGACCCCACACGAATTCAGGGCCTGGGCATGTGACAGTTAGACTTGAGTCAACTGTCGGTCCACCCAACAGTCAAAGTCCAAAGGTACCCAGCCCAGGCCGCTGGTCAAGCACACACACTTGTTTGTATGCAGGTACCCAGACAGCATCAGGTCCAAGGGAGAAGTCTGCAACTGTATAATTTGGGCCTTCAGCTGTGAGTCAATCTGGATGACTGTGGGAAAAGCACCGAGGCCAGACAGCCTCGACAACTGCTACTTAAGGCTGGCCTCGAGTGAGTCAAGTATTCATCTTGCCATGCTGCTTTGATGCTGGCTCGACTTTGACTAGACACTGGCTTCATGCTGGCGCGACGCTGGCTACACGCTGGCTGTGCACAGGAGTTGTGGACGACGGCACGAGGTGGAGGCACCATGCTGGCGTTTCTGCATTATGCACCAGACTTGCTGAGCTGGCATGCTGATGTGGCGCTACCTCTGGTCTACATTGCATGCTGATGTGGCACTACCTATGGTCTACATTGCATGCTGATGTGGTGCTACCTGTGGTCTACATTGCATGCTGCTGTGGCGCTACCTCTGATCTACATTGCATGCTGATGTGGTGCTACCTCTAGTCTACATTGCATGCTGATGTGGCGCTACCTCTGGTCTACATTGCATGCTGATGTGGCGCTACCTATGGTCTACATTGCATGCTGACGTGGCGCTGCCTCTGGTTTCCAGTGCATGCTGATGTGGCGCCGTCACTGGTCTGTGGCATATGCCACCTATCTCGACTGTTGACGTGGCACTGTCCATGCTGTCTACATGAGGTGACTGGGTTGCGTGAAGGAGGAAGATCGGGATCTGTGGATGATGGAGATCGGGTACTCACCTGAGGTTGACGTCGACAGTGGAATCTGCTATGTCTTCATGGTCTTCACCAGATAAAGTGCCACATGGCACTACTGTGTGTGATCCGGAATATACTTATTATCATTGTTGACGTGGAGAGGGAAGAAACCCGGAGACGAAGAGGGATCTGAAGGGATTATTGTGTGATCTTTCATCTTCTCATTTGTCTGTTCCCCCTCCACTCTCTTCTTGTGATGGGAACGAGTTACTGTTTGAGAGATCACTTC